AAAAAAAAAAAAAAAAAAAAAAAAAAAAAAGGCAAGCATTTATGGAGCAGCAGTTCATAAGAATGGCTGAAACTTATAAGGCAGCTACTATAAGCCAGGTGCTGCTCTAAGAATTTATGCAAATTAACCCGCTTAATCCTCACAACAACCTGAAGTGAGTACTTTTGTTCTGTCCATTTTACAGAGAAGGAAACTGAGGCACAGAGATAAAGTGACGTACCCAATGTCACAGAGCCAGGAGGTAGTGGGTGAGGGATGCAAACCCTGGCTTCGGAGACTATGTTCTTTTCACGGTGACCCTCTAAGATCAACTACAATCCTCTAGGGCAGAGCCATGGCCTGTCTTGAACAGTCCATGAGTTTAGAATGGTTCTTACATTTTAAAGTGTTGTAGGAAAGGGAAAAAAAATGAAACAAAAAAGACAGTCAACTTATATGGCCAGACAAAACCTTAAAAGATTTATCATCTGGCCCTTGATAGGTCTGCCAACCCCTGCTCTAGGCACATGAAAAGAAGGTGCCTGGGACACACAGGCGCCCCTGCAGTAGCTACTGAATATGTGAAGAGTATGTCCTTTAGTCTTTTTTTCTTTTTTTTCTGAGACGGTCTCACTCAGTCACCCAGGCTGGAGTGCAGTGGCAAGATCTTGGCTCACTGCAGCTTCTACCTCCCAGGTTCATGTGATTCTCCTGCCTCAGCCTCCCAACTATCTGTGACTATAGGCACGTGCCACCAGGCCCGGCTAATTTTTGTATTTTTAGTAGAGATGGGGTTTTACCACATTGACCAGGCTGGTCTCGAACTCCTGATCTCAAGTGATCTGCCCACCCTAGCCTCCCAAGGTGCTGGGATTACAGGTGTGAGCCACCACGCCCAGCCTCCTTTACTTTTTAATTTTTTTGGAGACATGGTTTTACTCCGTAGCTCAAGCTGGAGTGCAGTCCTGCCATCATGGCTCACCTATCTCAGGTGGTCCTCCCACCTCAGCCTCCCAAGTAGCTGGGACTATAGGTACACACCACCATGCCCAGCTAGTTTTTGTGATTTTTGCAGATGCATTGTCTCACCATGTTGCTCAGGCTAGTCTTGAACTCCTGGCATCAAGTGATCCTCACTCCTTGGACTCCCAAAGTGCTGGGATTACAGGCACGAGCCGTGGTACCTGGCCAACAATCTTTGAAACATATATAACCATTTACTGGCCTTCTACAGATGTGGAAACAGGCACAGAGAGGCTAAGCAACCTCTCCATTGTCCCACAGCCAGTGCAAGGTTGGGCCAAATTTGAACACAGGACAAAGCCCTTGGTCTAAACCATACACAGACTCCTTTTCTTTGGTACTCACCATCTCTGCCCACCTGAGCTGTTTATTATCTTAGTAGTTTCTCTACATTTGTTGAGAATGTAGAGAAACATTCCTCTCCAGGGGCTGAGACCACAGGCAGGCTCATTTTCTTTTCTTTCTTTCTTTTTTTTTTTTTTCTTTGAGACGGAGTCTTGCTCTGTCGCCCAGGCTGGAGTGCAGTGGCGCTATCTCAGCTCACTGCAACCTCCACTTCCCAGCTTCAAGCGATGCTCTTGCCTCAGCCTCCCAAGCAGCTGGGATTACAGGCACCTGCCAGCACACCAGCTAATTTTTGTATTTTTCGGTAGAGATGGGGTTTCACCATGTTGGCCAGGCTGGTCTCAAACTCCCGACCTCAGGTGATCCACCCACCTCGTTCGTCCTCCGAAAGTGCTGGGATTACAGGCATGAGCCACCGTGCCCAGCCTAATTTTTAAATTTTTTGTAGAGACAGGGTCTTCCTATGTTGCCCAGGCTGATCTTTAACTCCTGACCTCAAGCCATCCTCTTACCTGAGCCTACCAAAGTGCTGAGTTCACAAGCGTGAAGCCACTATACCAGGCCTTGGTCAAATTTGTTAACCCTCTAGGCCTCAGTTTCCTCCTTCAGAAAAAATGAAGATGATAGTTGCTGGTGGTGGTACTACAGCATTGGTGTGAGGATTAAATAATAAGGCTCGTACAGCTCTTAGCATGGAGCCTGGCTTATAGTAAATAATAAACACAAACAGGCTCACGCCTGTGAATCCCAACACTTTAGGAGGCACAAGTGGGAAGACTGCTTGAAACCAGGAGATCGAGACTAGACTGGGAATATAGGGAGACTCCCCCTACCCCCGCCCGTCTCTACAAAAAATTTAAAAATTAGCCGGGCATGGTGGCGCGTGCCTGTGGTCCCAACTACTGGAGAGGCTGACATGGGAGGATCGCTTAAACCTAGGAGGCAGCGGCTGCAGCGAGCCGTGGCTACACAACTGCACTCCGGCATGAGCAACACAGCAAGACTCTTCCTCAAAAACAAATTTTTTAAATTAGTTTCCCAGAGGTTTGGGGAGTCACTGTCGCAAGCCACGCGGTCCCGTCTTCCCTTAATTCAACCTCCCAAGAACGCTCCAAACTCTCAAAGTCAGATCTTTTGCACCCGCACTTTTCATTGGGCGAAACGAAACCAGGATCCGCCCCTGAGCAGGAGACAGCCAACGAGGGACGCACGACCGAAAGCCCGCAGGAAGGCCCGCAGACTCAGGCCGCGGAACCCAGAGCTTAACAAGCCCCGAGGCACGTCTTCAGGCCGGCGGTCCCAAGACCCGTCCTTGGGCCCGCAGGCTCTCTCTCTACCCTCTGCGGAGCCCACTCCCCAGCTGGGGAAACTGAGGCTTCGGGGCGCTTCCCGGAGCCGGTTCTCGGGCCCCAACGTGCGTCCCAGCCCCACGCGCCTACCTTCCGGGCCCGGGTGTCATCTTCCGCCTGAATCTCAAATTCGCCGTCCTGCGAGTCGCTGCCGCGGGCCTTGGAGGCCGTGCCGCGGCGCTTCCGGAGCCCTTTCTTCTTCCTCCACTGGGCCATGGCAGCTGACGACCGAGGTCCGGCCGCGGGGCGCTTGCCCGCCGCCATTCGGGCCGCGCGCTGGGAACGCGGAAGGGGGCGGGGCCTGCGGCGCGCACCAACTGAGAGGGTGGGGAAGGAGCGGTGGCCACATCACCCCGGCTGCGCTTTCGCTAGTGCCTGCGGCCCTGGGCAGCCTACTACACACGCCCATGAGTGAGTGGCACCAGAGGCCCCTCTCCGTGTTTAGGAACTTCCTGGGCGTCAGGAACATGGCGCCCATCCCTGGGCGGACTCCCCCCCATCCCCGGGCGCGAATGGTTCGGGCCGCGCCCGCAGTGCTGCTGCCTGCTCCCTGGTTGCTGGGTTCTGGGTTTCTGGATGCGCGCGCCGCTCACACGTCGCCTGGGCTGGCTTCCCGGGTGCGTCTGTCCGCGCGTGGTGCACCGGTATGGCCTGGGCTGCCGGGAGTCCGGGGCCCCGGGCATTCCTGGCCGAAGATTGACGGGGATCCCGGATGCACCGAACGCCTCTGTGCCCTCGCCGAGGGGTCCAGACCTGGTGGGAAGAAGGCGCAGGGAGAGGTACCTGAGGACCCCGATGCCTACGAGCCAAGATGCTCAGGTAGGAGAACAGCTCAAAAATGCAGGGACCTCGGGCATTTTTTAACCGGGTCACTGATTTGGGAGTCGCAGAATATGGGGCGGTGGGGGCGGCGGTGATATCCCAATAGCAGTGTAGTGAAGTACACAAGCTCTGGACTCAGATTTCACTTCCACCGTTTTAGCTTTATAGGTGTGACCTACTCATGTGACTTCACCTCAGTTTTGTGATCCGTAAAATGGACAAAATCGAAGCTACTTCCCAGTGCTGTTGAGAGGATTAAATGAAACAATGCTTGTAAAGCTCTTTGCAGGAGGTAGGCATGGGATCCACGCTGGCTGTTATTGCCCCCACCCCCACAGTACACACAGAATATAGGAAAGTGCCTGTCTCCTCCACCACCATAGTGTGTTTTCTGGTTGGTGCCTAAATGGGCACAGGTGTCACCTCTCCTTCATCCCCAGAGTCAGTCTATAAATAATTGCCAATAGCACCCCTTTCTCCATCATTATGACAACTAAAAAAAGTCAAAGGGCCAGGTGCGGTGGCTCACGCCTGTGATCCCAACACTTTGGGAAGCCAAGGTGGGTGGATTACGAGGTCTGGAGTTCAAGACCAGCCTGGGCAAGATGGTAAACCCCCGTCTCTACTAAAAATACAAAAAAAAATATATATATATATAGCAGGACGTGGTGGTGGGCGCCTGTAATCCCAGCTGCTCAGGAGGCTGAAGCAGAGAATTGTTTGAACCGGGAGGTGGAGGTTGCAGTTGCAATGAGCCGAGATCGCACCACTGCACTCCAGCCTGGGTCTGGGTTGACAGAGCGAGACTCCATCTCAAAACAAATTTAAAAAAAAAAAAAAAAAAAAAAAAAAAAAAAAAAAAATAAAAAAAAAAAAAAAAGCCAAAGAAATTTCCTAAATGCCCCCTGAAGTTGACAACTCCCCTTGAGAGACTGGTTGAGAGGGAACTAAGCCCTTGGGATGAGAACTCCAGAGACCACCAACCTTCTGCCATTAGCACTGCTGTGGCTCAGCGGTGCTACTCCGATCTCCTCTCACAGGGAGCCTCGGAAGCAGGACCTGGCCGGCAGAGCAGACCCGCTGTCACCAGGGACCACAGGCAGCATGAAGACCCCCGTGGAGCTGGCTGTCAGTGGGATGCAGACCCTCCACCTTCAGCAACGCTGCCGGACTGGCTACCGGGTCAAGGCCAGGCCATCATATGTGGATGAGAGTCTGTTTGGCAGCCCAGCAGGCACCCGGCCCACCCCACAAGACTTTGACCCTCCCTGGGTGGAGAAGGCTAACAGAACCAGAGGCATGGGCAAGGAGGCATCGAAGGCCTTGGGGGCAAAGGGGAGCTGTGAGACCACCCCCTCAAGGGACAGCACCCTGACCCTCACACCAAGGAAGAAGAACAGATACAGGTAACTGGGTGGGGAGACACAAATCCTGTACTCAGAGCAGCCACCTGGGTTCCACTTATAGCCCTGGTGCTCTGTGATCTTGGGCAAGCATCTTGACCTCTCTGAGCCACAGTTTACTCATGTGGAAAATAGGACCAATGATTCCTACTTAGGGGGATTGTTGATGGATTAAATGAGAGAGGGGTCTGCAGTGCTTTGCACAGTAACCTAACAGAAAGCTGTCAATAAATGGTAGTGTTGGTGGTTGTGATGGTGGACTCCCTATCCCCAAGTGTCACAACTGGGCATCTGAGGCCCAGAGGAGTCAGCTGATGCTTAAGATCACAGAGAAATTTGCATAAGGTTATTCATATTAATGTGATCGATCCTTGAAATGGCATAGATGTGGTGTTTCTGAAGTCATTTTGAAAATGGGTCTTGCCAGGTGGGGTAGTTCATGCTTGTAATCCCAGCACTTTTGGAGGTCGAGGTAGGATCACTTGAGCTCAGGAGTTCGAGACCAGCCTGGGCAATGTGGTAAAACCATGTCTCTATTAAAAAATACAAAAATTAGCCGAGCATGGTGGTATGCACCTGTATTTGCAGCTACCAGGGAGGCTGAGGTGGGAGGATCCCTTGAGCCCAGTAAGTGGAGGTTGCAGTGATCCAAGATCACGCCACTGCACTCCGGCCTGAATGACAGCGAGACCCTGCCTCAAAAAAAAAACCCTAATATGACTTTCATTCACTAT